AAAATTAAAAAGTGGTACGCGAGCCTGGTAAATACAGACACTAGTGACTGTCTTTAGGTATAACTTAGAAGGTGATGATGGTAAGTTATAAAAATGTTTTCGAATTCACCTGAATGGTCACAAAAGGAAGAAACAACACCAAATTTATATGGATGTATATTTTCGTGTGTCTTCTTCAGTATAACGTATTTTCAGGTATCACCTAGACTATAAGTTGATAGTTGCAACTCACAAAGAATGAATGTCTTAGGATACCACGTGGAGGATAGTAATGACGTCATACGTATACAAGATTGAAAACATTACAATCGTCACAGAACAATTATCACTGGAAGTATACAGGAAGAAAGTTATTTGTATTCATTAATATGTAAATCTCACAAAATGGCGACTTGAAGTGATGTCATTCCCAGTGTTGATGTGTTTTTGTTTCATTAAACAAATCTTGAAAGTTAAAAAGAAAGCCTCATATAATTGTCGCTAAAATTATGTGGCAGTACGTGCTATTGTATAGCTTTGTGCTTAACATCAACCGAATACGTACACCAGGCTTTTCGATTTTATGTCTAAGTATAGGTATATTCAGGGAAATGGTTGGAAAAATATTCGGTTAAGTTTAGTAGAAAGACTGGATATTTGTCAGGGACTGGTCAACATTTTACCTCCTGTGTGGAGGGGTACACAGAAAAAATGTTCAGAAGATTTAGTTTGTAATAAAGAAGAATAAATATCAGACGAAGGTGGGGAGAAGATCGTTTCAGTGTTTCACGTATGCAGTACGTGGAAGCTTTTGCTAAGGTATTTGATTAGTAGAAAGCTTTAATCTCAACGAGGAACTCGTCAATCTTCTTCACTCACTGTATACGTTCATTGAGTTTAATAGAATGATGGAATGTCATCCAGTAACCAGTCAATTTTTTAATTTAAGGGTATATAAAAAGTTCTCCACAAATACCCTTATAATGGATTGGAAAAACTGACCGATCCCCTCATTGAAATTCAATCATTCTACAGAACTCAATGAAACAACCTTCCTAAAAAGTTCTCCACCTTGTAACTTGCTTCATTAACTTCAATAGAAGGATTAAATGTCAGCGTAGAACCAGTCATTTTTAACTTGTAAGGTGTATGTAAAGAACATTCTTTTGTGAAAGACTGGTTTAAGTAGAAGAATAATCACAGATCAGAATCATAGTAAATATTTCATAAGGGGCGTTAAAACAATAGTTTTTAAAGTAAATAATAAATATGAAAGAAATAGTGATAGCATAAAGTCCTGAAAATTTGAAATGATAATTTGAAAGTATGTATTTTTTGTTGTTCAGATTGCCTTAACTTTCGAGAATAAAGATATGTTCATACTTTTATTAGTTTACCTACTAACCCTATGTGTGGAGTTCAAAGTGTGCATGTACGAACTTTTACAAATGCCATTCAACATGGTATTATGTATTCGTTTTGGTTTGTTTTGAATTTCGCGCAAAGCTACGTCCCCCGGTGGGACAGCGGTAAGTCTTTGGACTTACAACGCTAAAATCAGGGGTTCGATTCCCCTTGGTGGACACAGCAGATAGCTCACACGAGGACTGTCTGCACTAGCCGTCCCTAATTTAGCAGTGAAAGACTATAGGGAAGGCAGCTAGTCATCACCACCCACCGCTAACTCTTGGGCTACTCTTTTACCAACGAATAGTGGGATTGAACGTCACATTATAACGCCCCCACGGCTGGAAAAGCGAGCATGTTTGGTGGGAGGGAATTCGAACCCATACACTGGTGATTTAGTGATAGTTCGTGGTAGAGGAAAGTAAATACCAAATACAACATACAGGGATACCGAAAAAAAACTGTAGATACGCACTTCGGAGGTTCTAGAGGTTATGCAAATGAAATATGCAAACTGTAAGAAGGATAAAGGTGTATATATTCTTCACATGAACATCACCCTGAACTCCAACTTGTCAGGGTTTGAGTTAAATTGACATCGGCAATTCACAGACATCTCTGGAGTACAAATATATTTGTAACAATCTTGTTTCGTTTGGTTGTTGTTGTTTTTTTTTGTTTTTTTTTTAGGGGGTGCACACAGATTTGTACATCTTTTGTAAAGCTTGCCCTATTGCTTGTAGATACACTTAGTAAATTCAGGATTATAGTTAACACTCCTTCTTCAATGGGCCGAGCTGGTGCATATTCGGTTATATTGTTTGGATTATTAAACTCTGCCTACAAAGACTCGAAAGCGAATAACATATAAGTCTTCTAAGAATCGTATTTCGACTAAAATCTCCTGCTGTGTTGACTTTAATAAATGATCGTTTCATAAGTAAAGAAGTTTTTAAAAATGTAAAAGACATTTTTTTTAAAATGATATATTTTTTCACGGCTGGCTACGATTTACTTGTTTTTCATGTACTTATTTGAATTGTAGAATAGAGCTGTATTGAGAACTAATCTTGATGAGTGTTATATACGAAAATATTTGTTTAGTCGCGGCATAGCGGTTCATAAAATGGCTTTAAGTTTGTTTTTTTTTTCAAGTACAAATTTTTAGCTCATAGCTCCATCTCTTGACCGATTTGAGATCTAATTACATCCACGGCTATTTATGATTCCCTCTTGTTTTTCAAGTACAAACTTTTAACTCATAACTCCATTTCTTGAACGATTTGAGACCTAATTACAGCCGCGACTATTGAGGATTCCCTCTTGTTTCAGGAAGGCAAATGAATAAGGTAATATGTAATTACTTAGAATTGGCTAAAAAATTATTATAATAACAAAAAAGTAAAATATATACATCATTAAATACGCCTCTATTGATCGCTGTCATTTTGGTGAGGTTATGAATTGTAATTAACGTCTAAACTGAACATTATTTTGATAGCGCATCATTATAGCCATTTATTTAAACTAAAAGCCGCACTAGAGTAGTAAAGCTTACTTATATAGTTCTTTGGTTCCACCTTTGTCTTGAGATTATTTTACATAACTTTTTTGTTGTC